GGGAAGTAAAGAGAGAGAGAGAAGGGAAGTAAAGAGAGAGAGAGAAGGGAAGTAAAGAGAGAGAGAGGGACATGGAGGGAGGCCTGTGGGAGACCCTACTTCACAACGTGGGAAAGTAGTGGCTTACACACAAGCAAGTCAGCCAAGAACACAGGCGAGCACACGCACACACAACAAAATCATGCAGACAAAAAAAAAAAAAAAAAAGACAGGGAAAATCACGTCAGCGCTCTGTGGCCAGCACAAAAATCAGCACATGCTGGCTGGATCTGCCTGTTCTGTGTTATCAATTATTATTTTTGTTATTATTATTACTACAGAGAGGGAATTGGACCAAGACACCTGTAGGGAGGGTGTGGAGACTGCTGAAAGAGAAATAAAAAAGAAGGAGAAAAAGAAAAAAGAAACACCACCGTGTCTGTGTGATGACGTGACTGTGTGTCTGCTGTGAGACTCTGGGATGAGAAAAAACAACTGATACCACAACTCAATCAAATGATAACTCATCAGCATTTAGCAGTGAGTAATGAATTTGACTTTGAGGCCAGAAGCTTTCCCTGCATCTGTCTTTAATGTCGGCCACGTTAGTTAAGGTTACTATTTCATCTTAATCATTCAAAGACTCGTGCGTGAACACACACAGAGACAGACGCATTCAAAAAGGTACTGGGGTTTTTGAGCCCACACACAGTCTTACTGGGAAATGGGAGATATGGTATTCCAGTTATTACTATAAATGACAGGGTGACATTTCGGCTGGAAACCATTTTCTCCCGTGGCACGGAAAACTATTTCCACTCTAAATGCCCGTGCAGAGAAAAAAACAAGCTCATTCTGTCTTACACTTGTTCCTAAACTGAACAGGTCACAACTACCTTGACATTTTTATTTTGTAGCATTCACGGCTGCAGATACAGCCACTAGTTTAGATCAGATCAATATTGTAGTTATAATGGCAAAAACAGTTCACACACAAACTAGTACCGTGGTCACAGAGCCATGTACCACAGGCTGTATACATTTAATGAAAATGAAAAAAACCTATTGTGGTTTTCCTTTCCATTATTTTCTACGTTTTTTGGGAAATCCTGCATCATTTTCAGTAGTTACAGTGATATATTTGTACAACAATTCACTTATTTGATGGTGGCCAAGCCAGATGGAGGAACTTTAAGGCATGCTTGGAGCAGACTAATCAAAAACAAAATTAAGTGGAAGTAAACTGAAAATACATGGCCTGTAAGTTTACACATGACATTGCTGACCAGTTGCAGATGGCAGTGTATAGGGAGCGGTGAACATTTCAACAGCTTTGGCTGGCAAACTTGTGCAGACCACAGCAATCAAAACCAAATGCAGCACTTCCTTTTAGTCATAAACCTGCCATTTTGCTCATGAGAACATCAAATTCAATTTAGTTTTGAATATATTGCCCCCCCACACACTTAATCAGCCCAGTCAACTGTGGTTGTCAATAGAGGCCCAGCGGTGGTCACCTACAGTTAGTCATTAGGCAATGCGGAATATGTAGCAGTTCATGTGACTTAGTGATTTGATAATGTAGCACAACATGTTGATGGTTTTTTTTTTTATGGGTGGGCTCTTGCATTTATAGTAGAGTCAGAGATATTTTGTTGCTGGTTTTTGTAAATATTTACTGGTCTCTCCGTGCCTCGGACTGGTGCTGTGATAATGGACTTCAAAATTGGTTGTGAGATGGTGCTGTCATTTTGGTCGGTCTGTGTTATTAGGTTCTTTTGATTATGTGACTTATCTGTCGTGCTTTTGATGGCGTACTCCTCATATCAATAATAACAAAAATGTAGTGCAACAACAAACAAAGACTTGGCTGTAGCGCTGGCAATCAGAAGAGGAGCAGGAGAGTGTGGAGAAGAAGTCAAAATCAAATGCAGACTTTGCAAAATAAACGAGTGGGTGAATAGCAATAGCGTATTGCTCGCTTGCCAGCGTGGTAATCTGATTGTTGGTTTCCTAAATGTCGGCCGGACAAGCGGTCACGCTGCTGGACTTCGGTTTCAGATCCTACTGTGAGACACATCTGACAGCTGAGTGTAAGAAATTTGGGACCACTCTTCTCAAGTGATGAAAACACATTTCAACGCTTCAGGAAGAAAATTATAAAAACATTTGGTTGTACTGCTTTTGGCTTTACTATAGTCCTGCATTCAATAGTACAGACCTCTTTTCCCCCAATGCTACTGGTAGTAGCTTTAAAAGCATACTTGTTAGTTTCTCTTCAGGATGGAAACATATGCGTTCTGCTACAGCAAAAAGCAGCAGACAGGAGAAAGTGGGCCAACCAAACAC